TATCCAAAAACAAAGACACACACTGAGACATGGATGAATTTAGACAGACAGACGGACAGAGATCTAATAGTTTTCCGCTGGAAATTTAAAATATCTTTTTGCCCCTTTTTTTCCCTTGGTTTGAGTTCTACCAATTTGTTTATGGATTGAGTCCCAGATAGAGGGGGCTATGTATCCCAAGGACATGATAAGAGTTAACTTCAGGTTTTTTCCCAGGCCTGTTTTTGTTTCCCAGGCAGAACTGGAGCACCAAAAAGGTATTTTAACAAGTCAACTTTTTCCTAATTGCATGTGCAGGAAGAACCGGTTTTGTAATTTCAAAAAAGATTTCATTTTAACCAGTTTTCTCCGGAGTGTAAAGAATATCATGGCCATTCAGTGTCAACAATGTCACCTCTCTTTTTTGTAGTCATAGTATATCATCCATATAATGAATGTTATATGCATGCGGGAATTGCTGTCACACTGGGTGTAAAGCCTTGGCTACAGAATTTTGACAAATAGTGGGACTGTTAAGCATACCTTGAGGTAATACAGTCCATTGAAATCTTTTATGTGGCTTCTTTATTTATCTTTTTATGTGGCTTCTTTAAATTACTGGAAGGAACAGAAAAGTCAAATCTAGGCTGATCATCAGGGTGTAAAGGAATAGTAAAAAAACAATCTTTGAGATCAAAAACAAACAAATGCCAATTTCTTGGAATCACACTAGGATTAGGTATATCAGGTTGTAAAGCACCCATTGGAACAATAACAGCATTAGCAGCTCTCAAATCAGCAAGCATTTTCCGTTTACCATATTTCTTTTGTGATAGCGAACACTGGGGAATTCCAAGGGCTGAAGGGCTCAGTCGTCCCTTGCTAAGTCATTCATTAATTAATGTATGTAAAGCCTCCAAATCTTCTTGTTTTAGAGACCACTGCTCTATCCACACAGGTTGATTAGCTTTTCAATTAAGAGGTGTAGGTATGGGTGGAGGAAGATTAATATGAGCAGCAGCCACTGGTGAAAAAGCGGAGGGGTTTGAAATCTTGAGCTGTCAAAAGATAAATTCTTCCTTGTTGATTTTTGCCCAGTTCTAATCTTGGTATATAACCTTGATTGAACATAATCTGGTGACTGGCCTCTCTGTATTGATTTTGAAATTTTTCAACAGTCATTATCACTGTCATCAAAAGAATCAGAAGTCTGAAAACGTTCCCGTGCTGACTTAATTAATGCCCATGGACTCCAGATAGAGACGGGGGCGGAGTTCCTTATGTATGTTCTTTCTTTAACTCAGCTCCAACCTTTTCCCAGACTTATAAACCTCAGGCTGCTATTGACGGGAACCAGCAGCAATATTAACCCACTGCTTGTAACAATTCTTGGAGAAGGAAATGGCAACCCACTCCAGTACTCTTGCCTGGAAAATTCCATGGACTGAGCCTGGTAGGCTACAGTCCATGGGGTCGCAAAGAGTTGGACACGACTGAGCAACTTCACTTTGTAACAATTCTAATAATCGCCCTTCACTAATAGAAGCTCCTCCCGCTTTCAAGAGCTGCCTTAATAAACAAATATACGGGCGATAGTGTTCTGCACTCAATATTTCCCATTTCAACCCTGGTTAAGTGCCTGAGGACTTAGCAGTGGGAATTTTCAGAGGCCTCTCAATAGTCCTAGGTTCTGCGGCACTGTATTTTCACTTTCGCTCGTAGCGGTCTTGCACTCCAGCCCAACGTTGGGCTCCAGGCAATTGTTGCCCCAAAGGTCGGGGAGTGAGTGATGAGAATGAAAACAACGCGAAATCTGGTGCAATGGGTCGGGGAATCTGCAGCCTCTACTGGACTGAGGTGCAGGGTCCACTCTGCGTCCAGCTTTTATTCCTGATTGCAGACTACAAAACTCTCTTTGCTCTATCTTTCCCAAGACACTACACTGACACAGTCCAGATCCCCTTGTTTCTACCCCAGGCCGTTCCCTTCTGGGAAAGTCTCAGGAACGCTCAGTAAGTGTGTAGGCTGCGTTCATACCTGACGCCGACCCGGTGCTCCAAGGTCCATGCTTTCATGATCCCAGTCATCCTCCCTTCTGGGTCTGGCCTTGGGGTCTATACAAGGCAATTATTCTATGAAAAACATGAAACTTGCTTTTATGACCCCAGTCATACTCCCTTCTGGGTCTGGCCTTGGGGTCTGTAAGAAGGCTGTTATTCTCAGAAAAGCATGAAAAATGTTTTTCATCATTGTTGATACATCATCAACACAGTTTCTTGATATATGCTATTTTCCCAGGTGCTATTTCTATGAGATTTCTCAAGGCTGTGAGTATACATTATCAGAAATTCTCACTACAGTTCATTATAGAAAACTTGAAATAATATGAAGAAGAAGATTACTTAAGAAGATTTTAATTTCTTAGAAATAATTTGTTAACATTTTGGTATTTCCTTCTAACCTTTTTCTTAAAGCCTTACTACTTTTTAGTGTACTTGGAAACCTTTGAACTCAGAGCTGCAAAGAACCTTGCAGTCATCTGGTTGATGCCCTCATATTCCAGATGAGAAAACTAAGGTTCAGAGAGGTGTGGTTTGCTCGTGATTCCAGTCTGATTACACAGTTGGAATTCAGGCATTCGGATTCTAGCCAAGCAACTATTCTCTTGACTCTTTGCGCAGGCCTGGAGGCCTCCAGAATGGCTCTCCAAGATCTCTTTATTTTGACTCCTCCATCCCATTTTCTACAAGCCGTACACCAGCAACCAGGGGTGGTGGGTGGTCAGTCCTGGCGCTATTTTTTAAGGTTTTATTTCTTTCACAGTGCAGTGGCTTCTTTGGAAGTGTCTCGGCTCTTTTTATCAGATGCTCACAAAGAGCATGACTTGAACTGACATGATTATTCAAACACTTTTTGTGTAAAGAAAGTATGAATTTAGTCCTAAGATTCAGGGGCCTGTAATTCACTTGTCCTGATAGTTAGGCATGTTTTGAACATACTATAACTTAAGCATAAGCATTTTTTCCTGGGTTTGATCCTTCCCAAATTTTCTTGTTTTTAAAATCATTTTATTTACCTATTATTTTTGGCTGCGCTGGGTCTTCATTGCTGGGTGGGCTTTTTCCTTAGTTGCAGTGAGTAGAGGCTACTCTCTAGTTGGCGGTGTGCAGGCTTCTCATTGTGGCGGCTTCTCCTGTTGCAGAGCTCGGGCTTTTGGGCACGTGGGCTTCAGTAGTTGCTGCTCCTGGGCTCTAGAGCACAGGCTCCAATAGTTGTGGGACACTCGCTTGGTTGCTCCTCGGCGTGTGGGATCTTCCTGGATCAAAGATCAAACTTGTGTCTCCTGGATGGGCAGGCAGATTCTTGACCAGCGAGCCACCCAGGAAAGCCCTTCCCATGTTTTCTATCTCAACTCTCGTCAAAAGTTAGGAAAACCCTCTCATCCTCTGTGAGTGTATCTGGCAGTCTTTCTAAGAGTGAGTGAGGAGATAAGGAACTTCTTTCTGTGTTCTCCTGCCACTTGAGCAGCAAGCCGAAGGTGCTGAGCTGCTGTGGTCACTTTAATCAGCTGCATGTTGCTGTTCTTTTCAGCAGGTGGTCAGTTTCATTCCCCAAGGGGTCACTCTTCTCCCACCGAGAGAGCAACACCAGAGCCTCCTGTCCCAGAAGTAAATCCAGTGGCCCAGCAGACTGACCGCCAAGATGCTGCTTCTCCTGCCTGCTCTGTGGAGGAAGAGGCCAGGAGCCCCAGCCCAGATCATTCAAGCCTCTGCAGCTTCGAAATCAATGAAATCTACTCAGGCTGCCTGGACACAGCAGATAACCAAGAGGAGGAGCATCCGGGAACTGGCTTATCTCTTGAGGGAGCCGCACCAAACCAGACAGATGAACTGAAGTCCATGGAAGAAGAGCTGGAAAAGATGGAGAGAGAGGCGTGCTGTTTTCTCGACGAAGACGAGAGCTCTTCGGACGCTGACACTGAGCTCTCCTGTGAGGACTGGGACTGGCAGAATGGTGCGCTGCGTTCCCCCAGCCTGCTTGCGTCAGCCGGAGGAGCCAAGGGCGGCGTGAACAACCGGTCCATGACCGAGGAGTACATCAGTAAGTGTGTGCTGAACCTGAAGATTTCGCAGACCTTAATGCACCAGAATGCTGATTTGCTGAGGAATATTCAGCAGAAGATAGAAAAGCTTCAGATGATACAGAAGGAGCAGGCGGAGCGCAGGTCTCTGTGGGCTTCTTCGAGAGAGTTTGCAGGCATCCACGACTCACCTTCGGCCCTCGGCCCTCCGGCTTCCAGCTACATCCCTCCTGTCGTGCAGCGGCTGGGGGACCAGCAGCCCGACCCGGGGGGCAACGGTCCGACTCTAGCAAGGTCTCCGAGAACAGCGAAAGATTTTCGAGGAGGACATTTTGGCAAAAGGTCCAAGAAAAGAAGAGACTGTGGCTGGTCACCTTTAGCTTCTTTCCCCCAAGTCACTGAAGAAAGCACCGGGGATCAGCCGGAGAAGGGCCAGCAGGTGAGGCTGAGGTGGGGGGGCAGGGCAGCACACGGGGTCTGCATACCCTGACCCGCCTGCAAGGGCGGCATCAGCACCACCAACTTGTAGCGAGTCTTCTTTGCTTTGGGAAACGAGGCCTCTAGGTTGGAATTCCAAGGTAGATACTCTTCATCTTCTATCTGGAACCCAGCTCACAGGCCCTGTCCTCTATAAAATTCTATGAACTATGTGAAATCGCTGTTTTGTAGGTCAAAATCATCAAGTATTGACAATTGTATATAGTTCAACTCACCAAATATGGTATCTTGGGCAGGTATTAATCTCCATTCTGAATTGCTTATTCATTCATTCATTCACTCATTTGATAAGCATAGAACCAGAGGCTGTTTATTAGACCCTGGGATTTGATGAATGAGCCACAAGCTCTGCTAGGAGCAGCTCAGACACCAATGGGGAATGGAAGGACTTTGTAGTCAAAGGAGATGCCTCAGAGGATGTGAGGTTGAAGAGTGGTTCCCCTGTGAGCTGCTGCTGTTTCTTCTTCTTTTTTTGACCACACCACATGGCTTGTAGGCTCTGGACTTCTTAAGGACAATCCGTCCAGTAAGGCTGAGGAAGGTCCCCACACATAGAAGGGGGCCTAGCAGTAGAAGGTACTCCGTAAGTGGTCATTGAGGGAATCAATAAATGGATGAATTTTAACAAGTTCACACATGCAGAGCTGGCTGCCTGTTGAATCAGAATTTTAGAGATGGATCAAGCCCATCCTTTTCCAGAGTGCGAAGCTCAAGCTCAGAGACTTAAACTTCCTGAGACCCATGGATGTTACTGAGCACAGGGTGGAGTGAGAGAGGTCAGCACCTCTGGAAGGAGGATCTTATTACTGAAATTATTTAGTTGCTGGCTCATGGTTAAAAAAAAAAAAAAAAAAAAGCAGGCTAACTTTTAGTGGGTTTTATTATTCTTTTAAAATCCTCCACCTGAAGTGCACCCTCTCGGCCTGCACAGGGCAGCCGACTCCCACTACCCCACCCTTTGCTGTGCTACTGACCAGGCCCAGCTGGGTTTCTGACTCCCAGGCTAGTGCTCTTGCCCTGTTCCTTGCTGCATTTCAGCGAGACTTTAGTCCTCACTTAGAACATTTGGAAAAGCCTTGGCATTTGTTTTCATGTAAAGAGAAGGAAGGTGACTTTGTAGAAGGAAATGGCAACTCACTCCAGTATTCTTGCCTGGAGAATCCCATGGACAGAGGAACCTGGTGGGCTACAGTCCATGGGGTTGCAAAGAGTTGGACACAACTGAGCTACTACTAACACACACACACAAAGAGAAGGCACAATGAAAGTTAGAGTTTACTAGAGTTTACTAGAAAACTACTAGAAATAACTTTTATTGTATACTGTATGTTGATCACCTGTTTCTGGATAACATAAAATAGCAGTGTTTTATTACTTCTCATCATTCTGTGGGCTCTGAGTATGACAGGGCTAGCTTGACTGATTCTTCCATTCCTTGTGATGCTGGCTGGGACCACCCCCTCAGCTGCATTCAGCTGGAGTCTTGAGTTGAGCAAGAAGTTCCAGGAAGGCCTCAGTTACCTCGCTCCCCCAGGCGGCCTCTTTCTACGCTTGGTTTCTTTTCATTCACTTAATAGTCTCAGCCAAGCTTCTCTGCAGCCCAGCAGCCGGCTTCCCAGGTGAAAGCGAAGCTGCCAGGTCTCTTAAACACTGGGACACTGTCACTTTTGCTGCTTTCCTGATGGCACAGCTAGGAAGCAGCATAGATTCAAGGGGAGGGAAGTCGATTCCAGCTCTCTCACGGTGGTGTGGACCGGGAGGGAAGGCGTTGAAGGCAGCCGTTGTTGGAAACTATCTACTAGTACATGTGACTACGTGTGAAGCAACTATACCATATTTTAATTGTTCTTTAAAATTGTTCTTTAAAAAGCCTGCTCTAGTTTTCTAGCATTATCAAGGAATAAGGCATTTTCACCTAAGTGAAATTTTCAAACATTTGAAATTCATTCTTTTAATTTCTCCATTCTTAAATTTTTAATCACACTGAATGAAAACACTGCAGCCTTGCCATTTTTCTAAATACCAATTTGAATATATTCTAAATCTATTCTAGCCTTTCCTTGGTGACCATGATGATTTTTTGAACATCTGTTACTGTGATGTTCTGTGATACAATGCTGCCTCCATCCTGTTTGGACTGAAGTCCTGAGGGCCAGTGTGTCTATGAAGAGGCCTACAGCTAAGAGATAAGTTATTAGATGTGAAACATGCAAACTGAAATTGTCTTGAGAGGTCTGGTTAGTTCTACATACTGAGCGAGAATGACTTTAAAAATAGAATGTGAGAGTGAAGGGAAGAGGGATTCCTTCATCAAAGCACTGAAACAGGTCTGCTTTTTAAGCTGCCAGCTCATTGTGGCCCTGGAAAACAGAGCGGAGGTGAACAGTTTCAGCCCACTCACGGAGCCAAGGACAGTTTGGAAAGAAACAGGAACCAGAATACCAGCAGGTGGGTTAAGGTTTCATTGTTCTTTGCATCACCATGTCTTTAGACGCCCATGTGACCCTTAGGCCACTTAATGATCTTCATGTTGCTGATGACAAAGAGATTGTGAGAGTTGAGGAGTAGTAACACAGAAAGAGATGTTGGTAGATTCTCTCTGTTGAGTGAGTGAGAAGAGCAGTATAATGGAAACTCGAGGGAGACCTCAGAGGTGAAGTTGCTGGGGGGTCAGTCAGACAGAACTCCTCAGTGGTCCAGAGCAAAGCATCCTGCCTTTCTGAAACTGTCCAGATTGCTTTTCTGATAAAAACAAGTGCCAAGTATCCCATGTGCCAGTGTTCCAGAAACCAAACTACATGAAAACCAGTGTTGTTCAAAATAAGGGTCACTGACTCTGGGGGGCAGGAGGAATAAGTTGAACGATATCATCGTTACGTTTTGGACTCTGATTTTTAGCCAGATCGATGAAATGAATTGATTTCAGCACAAACCAATTTTCCTTCAGTAGAAGAAAAGGGTATGCATATGCTGGGTTTTTAAGAACTTAAGAAAAACAAATTTTCTTTTGCATAGGGAGAATTATTAATGGAGCAATAAATGTTTTTCAGGACGAGTAGTAATATGAACTTAGTTTTCCTCTTCTGTGGTTAAAAGACAGCATTAATCCACAGCTTTGAAGTCAGTCTTCCTGGAAAAAAAATTTTTTATTCCTGCCCTCATTGGTGACTGAGAATAATGACAAGAATTTGCTGTTCTCTTCACTTCAGTTAAATATGTACCAAAGAATCGAGGAACATGCCCAGACATTTTAGATTAGTGCATTTTACCTTTACAAAGGGAATTAACTGAAGAACCATCATCGGCATCAGAGAGTTTAGCACTCACATCATTGCCAGAAGTGAACAGGGTGACAATGTAGCCACTGGAGGACAAAGCAGAAACTGTAGTTGTGACCTTCCCTGCTCAGCACCCTCCTCCCCCCGGAGAACAGAAACAGGCCAAAGAGAAAGCTTTAATGCTTTGCTGTCAGTCCACCTAGTCTGCTTGTGTGCTTTCAAAATAACTCTAATTACATACATGTAGGCATTTCTGTGGGCTTCCCAGGTGACTCAGGGGTAAATAATCCGCCTGCCAATGCAGGAGACGCTGGTTTGATCCCTGGTTGGAGAAGATCCCCTGGAGAGAGAAATGGCAACCCACTCCAATATTCTTGCCTGGGAAATCCCATGGACAGAGGAGCCTTTCGGACTACAGTCCATGGGGTCACAAAGGGTCAGACATGATTGAGTGACGAAACAAAAAGGCAGTTTTGTATCCTGAGCTTTTGCTTTACATTAGGACGTTTTTATCCTTTGTTATTAAAAACATCCTGTAAACTTACTTTGAAATTGTAAGTTTGAAATGGGGAAAAATTGAATTTTCCCCCATTGTTGAATTTTAGGTTGTTTCAGTCTTTCTTTTTTCTGTTATGACTAGGGCTATATATAGTGACTTGTCAGTAAATTTTGTTCTGCATTTTGGGTTATGTCCTTGATAGGCTCCCAGAAGCAGAGTTACAGAGGGTTTGAACATTTTAAAGATGCTTGATAGCTGTTGCCAAATTGTTCTTCAAAGAAGCTGATCAGATATGACTTTTCTAATTCAACAGCCTCTCTTTGCACTCTGATACAGCAGGAGACTGGGCTATTCTAGATAAAAGAGAATTCCTATGTATGCATAAATTACACATTTTCTTTTTCTTTATCTTATTTGGCGGTGCCAGGTCTTAAGTTGCGGCACACAGCATCTTCTAGTTTGTGGCATGTGGGATCTAGTTCCCTGATCTGGGATCAAACCTGGGCCCCTGCATTGGGAGCATGAAGACTTAGCCACTGGATCACCAGGGAGGTCCCCTAGAAGAAACATTTTCAAAGCATTAGTTTAACAGGTGATAAAGGGTATATAATCATGGGATATTTAGAGGAAAAAGAGACTGATTTGTTGTGCAGATGAGGAGACCTTGGCCCAGAGAGACTGAAGTTTGCCAAAGTCAGCTAGCTAGTAGCAGGACATGGTCCACAACTCAGTGAAACTAGGATGAGGATCTCTGAATGATTTTCAGAATCCCTGGTGCCTTAAGCCCATCTTTATAAGTGTTAGCTGTTGTGCTTTCACTAATATACAGGTGGGCCTGTTACCAGAGGATTCTGATCAAAGGGCAGGGAACTACTGAACCATCACCTATGCTCTGCTCTGCTACAACCCGAGGACCAGGGTTCTGTTTGTGAAGCTGAATTTCAAGATCTTCTAACCTAGTCCTTTCATTTCTTAGCCAGGGAAGGCCTAGGGAGTCCAGTCCTCAAAGCAAAATGACACAGCTCAGTAGCGCACTCCTCACCATGCCAAGCCACCCACGGGGACCACCCGCCTCATCCAGCCCTGGCCAGGACTCTACCAGGTAGCACAGCCTTGTGGGCTGAGTGTTGGGGGTGGTGGTGTCTGGTGCCCACTGCTGGTCTTTAGGAGTCAGTGCAACCTCAGAACCGCTCAGAGAATAGGGGACAGTCCTCTGGGTGGGCTCACGGGCTTGGGGTTGTGTCAGGAACTTGAGTCAACTGAGGTGTTTGTGTTCACTTGCCCTCTTCCCCCAAATAAATGCAATTCAGGATCAGCATGCAATCTGTGTCTTCTGAAATCTATAACGCAAAGTCAAGAAATGAAGGTGATGGAGAGATACACTTAAAGTGGAAAAGTGAGTATAAAGCCATGGATTCTGTTGGACAAAATGAAATTTAAAGTACCTTTCTAGCTTGGTTGTTATCTCAAAGTGCACAACCTGTCTTCTCATATTCTTTTCTTGTTAGATCATTCCATTTTAAAAGTAAGACCTTTCTGATTACAAACTGAAAGAGAAGTGCTTTTTTTAATCTCTGGACTATGTAGGAAATCTGTCTACACTCTGTATATGTGTATATATGTATGTTGTGTAACAAAGGTAGTAAAGAAATACACAGTATAGATTCTTATAATGTTAGGGTAGAGAGCTTGCAGTGTCAGTGTCACCTATCCTGTGGGCATTATCCTTTTGTATCAGTTTAATCTTATGAGCGTAAAAGAATACAGCATCTATGTTTTTTGATAGTAATGCTAGGTGGCACTGAAAAGGATAGAAAATTTTGAGGAAAACACACACGCACATATATAGGTATATATGTACTCCCAAAATATGAGCTCAGTCTGGTCTAGAAAGGTCATATAAACTCAGATAGAATTCCTTCCGTTAGTTTCTGCAGGTTAAGGGCTTCACATGTCATTTTCTTACAAAATCTTTACAGCAAGAAGGTCTGTCTACAAATTTCTGTTGCCTTTTAGTCTGATTCAGCATAAAGGGCTGTAACTAACTGAAATTCTGCCTGTCCCTCACTGTTATCCGTTCTCTCTTCTTTCCTATTTAAAGCCAAGCAGGGCAAGCTAAAGATGATGCAGTTCTAAACAGGGAGTAATTGTGATAATATAAGCTATAAACCATTACGTAACTCTTTAAAGAACTAAAACTTTTGTTTCCAGCATTCACAGTGCTGTTTTAAATGCTGCTTTCTCTTACGTCCAGCGGAGGTGAAAGAAATGGCAGCGAAAGCAGCTACTGGACAGCTGACAGTACCTCCTTGGCATCCTCGGAGTGGTGTGGCTTTAGACAGTGAGGCTGAACATGAGCCTGACCCCCTGCCGCAGCTCCCCATTAGGGTCTCCGAGCATGTGGATTGGCAGCAAGCTGCAGAGTATCTCAAGAAAAGCAATGAGCCAGGAGGAAATAAGTGTGGCCAAACAGACAGCAGTGACCAGCGTGGCAGACAGTCAGGGCCTCAGCGTTTCACCAGTAAGTTCAGATGGAGGAACTGGGGTAGGTGAGCTCTGTCAAGTTGTCAGCTCTTGACAATAAGTAAACCTCCTGGAATATTTCCTTTGGCTTCTCTCCTTTCCTGTCTATCTGGGGGTCCTGAATTCCAGGGGAAAGTAGCACACCCATCTAATCCCACTGTCCTTCAGACAGATGAAAAAGTCCAGAGACTCGCAAGTTTTTTATTACTAGAGGAGATTCCTTTGTCCAAAGGAAGTAAATCGTCTCCATGCACTGACCTGTTCCTGGATCTAACCTGGCAAAGAATTGAACCTTTCACCAGAGAGCATGGGTAGCAGGCCACCCCCTGCTGCCCACTTCTTTGCATTGCATTTTAGGCCAGAAAAATGCCACCGTCTCTCAGAGAGTCTATGCCTGAGGAACCTAGAGACAAATGGTGTTTACTCCCGTCACTTTTATAGATTTGTGGGTGAAAACTGCACGCTGTGTCTTTCTACCTGGTAGTTTGCTTGCAGTCAGGGCATGGGATATCATTTCACAGTTGTTTGAAAATCAAGGAAAGGTACATCTGAAATTATCATTCATCTTAGATAGAAAAATACGCTGGTTTGGATTTTTTTGGTATTTAAAATCTGTTCCTTGTCAAGCATCACTCTTGAACGGGTGGGTGAAAGGGAGAATGATTCACAGCTGCGTGCTAGAGCCAGGCTAACCTACAGTCTCCACTGTCTGGACAGAACCTGACATGACACATGGCCACATTTGGCAGAAAATGCATACATCTCTTCTCTTATAGTATCCTTTGCCCCTTCATGTCATTTAAAAATTACCGAATGACAATTATTGTGTTATAATCGTTAGGTATCAGGCACCTGCTCCCCAGAAAAGATGAGCAGCCAGAGCACAGTGAAGTCTTTCAAGCAAATTCGGATGCATCTGTGGCGGTTGAGAAGTCTTACAGCGTAAGTCATACAGCTGGAGAGCCAACTCAAACCCAAAGACCTAGTAGAGTAAAACTGAGTTGTTACATATTATGACATTGAAATATCTGTAGTAGTTCTTTTTAGTTGGAGCATGCACCCTCATGTCTGACATGAATGAAGAAGCCTTTCCTCCTGTCTAATAGTTTTTGAATTTGTTCAGCTCAAAGCACTGTGAATATTGGAGCTTGGGGAAAACACAGTGTTAGATTCAGCTCTGACCCTTGAGCTTTCTGTGTGCGTGCTCAGTAACTCAGTCGTGTCTAATTCTTTGCAACTCCCATGGCCAGGCTCTTCTGTCCATGGGATTTCCCAGGCAAGAGTACTGGAATGGGTTGCCATTTCCTTCTCCAGAGGATCTCCCTGACCCAGGGATCTAGCCCACGTCTCTTGTGTCTCCTGCATTGGCAGACGGATTCTTTACTGCTATACCACCTGGGACGCCCAAGCTTTCTGTATAACTGTGTAGAAAAGACCACCTCGTAAAGCTCAGTGTGAGGTCAGTTACCAAAGCTCATGACTGAAGTCTTTTTGAAGTAGGAAGAGCAGGGCCAGGGTTACAATGAGAGTGCCTTTGCCTGGGATGTCATCTAAGACCGAAATTCAGCTCTCAGCTCAGTGGAAGGAGTGTGTTCATGCCTGAAATCTATGCCTCAGCAAGATCCCTGGGATTCAGTCATTTCCCAGCATTTGCACTGGGGTTACAGCCTTGCTTCAGGGATTTAATGTGTTCTTCAAGTGTGCAACTGGCCATGGTCCAGCCAGCGTAAGGAACCAAAATTTGTAATCACCATTGACATGGAAGAATATAAACGAAAATTGAGAACAAACAATGTAAAAAGCCTATTGTGATAACATTTGAGGCTTTTCAAAGAACATACCTTTGTATCTTAATCAGTACACAGACTACTCACAGGACAGTTTATTCTTTCTCTCCTGTGAGGCCTGGGAGGATGCACCACATTAAGCATACTGGCTTGGCTGGAGAAGCAGGTCTGTCAGGGAAGTGGAGAAGGTGTGGGAGGCCAGGCTTGTCTGAGAAATTTCAATTTGATATGAGGGATTAAGGAAAGCAGCTGCTAAGTGCACAGAAGAGGAAGTGTGGCAAAGGCAGTGTCCAGGGAAATAAACCGCAAAACCTGTGCAAAAAAATGATTGAAGGTAAGGAAAGGAGCCAGCTGTCTGGCCACGTGGTGATGAGGGCCTGGATGTAGAGAAGTAGCAGAAAAGGAAGGAGGAGAGCAGAGATGCTGACTGAATAACTTGCTTTTAATTAATTTATTTATTTGGCTGTGCTGGGTCTTAGTTGCAGCTTGTGGGATCTAGTTCCCTGACTGGGGATAGGACCCAGGCCCCCTGCTTTGGGAGTGTGTATAGCCACTGGACCACCAGAGAAATCCCAGTAACTTACTTTAAATTATTTCATTTTTTAAATAGTTCTCCCTTTTTTCTAAATTAAAAAAATTTTTTTGACTGCATGGCTGTGGGATTTTACTTCCCTAGCCAGGGATCAAATACACACTGCCTGCAGTGGAAGCATGGAGTCTTATCTGCTGGGCCACCAGGGAAATCCCTGTTTTATTTTTATTATTGAGATTGTATTGCTATTTTTAAAATCATGCTCCTTCTCTTGCCTTTAAATGGGAATACCTGAAGGAGTCCCAGGTCTGAGCAGCCTCAGCCTAGAGTTGACTCTAGCACGTGGACTGTGTCTGTGCCTGTGGGGGATCAGTGTGTTTAATTTCAGTCCCCAGCTTGAGTTGTCTAGGGTCTTTCTTCTTCCTGTGAATTGCAGAGCAAAAAGGTTGCCCGGCCTCCCGTACTTCCATTGTGCAGGTAAGGATGTTGAGATTCAGAACTGTGATTTGTCACACTTGCTCTGGGGTTCATGACTGGCTGTGCAGGAGGGCAGAGGTGCGCATGTGGCGGGAGGGGCTCTGAGAGCATCATCCCAACTGCAGGGTGATTTTAGATGCCCTGTTACTAACAGTGCAGCCAGCTCTAAAGGGATTTGTTTACAATAAACACCAACTGAAAAGTGATTTCCTACGTTATTAATAGGATCAGTCTGCACAATCAACTTGTTCACCAGAGTCTTCTGAAGCCATGACAGATGAGTTTTTAACTCCAGACCATGAATATTTTTACTCCTCAATTGCTCAAGAAAATTTGGCTTTAGAGGTAAAAATTTACAAAGTTCAGAATAAAGTACATCTCCAGCTTTCTCTGTTGCTTTATTCCTTTAAAATTATTTTTATTGTATGACAAAAACTACTGTAATGATGTAAAGTAATTAGCCTATTAAAAAAAAAAGAAAAAAAATTATTTTTATTAAGAAAAATAGCTTATACATAAAATAATATCATGTCAATTTATCAGTGTTTTCATATGTTTTGAAAAAACATTTGAAAAGTAAGATTTTTCATAATGAAAGTCTTACCGCAGAATTGTGGTTCCTGCATTTGTGCAGCACTTTGTACTTCTTTTTCAAAACCCGTTCCTTCTTGTTGCTTAATTCACAGTCCTTTCTTGAGGGGAGAGAAGGCAGCCTGCTATTATTGCTGTGTGTGAAGAAGCACTGGTGACAGTAGACTAGGGAGTTAGCCCAGGACTGACAGGCTTTAGTGGCGGGAGAGCCAGGAATAGCGGCACAGGGTCCGCAGAGAAGGTGAGGCTGTCCAGTACACGGGCCTTTCTCTGCGATCTGCCTGGCTTTTGCAAGAACCTGTTTGTGCACAGAGTATTTTCATTTATAAAATGAAAATCATAGGAGTCTTTTATTCTCTCGTAATTTTTACCTCCTCTGTCCCCTAACCTGCCACCTTTTACCAATATGGAAGGTAGAGTGGAGGAAAGAGAGATTGTACATGCCAATCACCACATTTGACTGACGGGAAGAATTCAGTGATGCATCACAAAGCATGGTTCTCCCTCATTGGCACTTCTGAAAACTCAGTTAGAGCAGTTTTCCATTATCAGTCCTTCGAGCATTCTTGATATTACTGTGGACTGCGACATTAAGAAAGTGGTTAATAAAAAATACAAAGTTTATATGCGTATACATGTACATACATGTAATATGTACACATATATAAAAAGGGTAACAGGGAAAAGTACACACATCTTTAGGGTACAGATCATGAACTTTTACATGCTGAACACACTCATGGAGCCAGCACCCAAATCAAGAAATAGAACATTCTTGATCCCCTAGAAGACCTTGTGTTTCCTCCCACCCACTGCCTCGCCTCAAAGGAACTGGTGTTCTGACTTCTCACCCCGTAGAGTAGCTTTAGAGCCTGGGCCATCTTTCCTACCTTTTTTGGCTTTTCTAGTAAAGCTCCCAGGAATTAAAACATCTTTGTTGGATGGTTGGAGTGAGGAGAGGGGATAATTATATAAAGAAGGGAAAAGTAACCCAATCCCGCCTCACAATGGGAGGGGGAGGAGGGCTTGTTGTGGAGGAGGAACGTATAGTACAAATAAGTTCTTAATGTCTGTGAAGGTTTGTTCTTTTTCTATAAAAGATGCAGGAACTTTATAAAGATTTTCAAAGTTTAAGAACATCAAGAAATCCTCTCCCCATCTTTTGATGATATATCTTCCTCTAGTGAGCTTCCTTTCTTTGCTCTTTCGTTCTTTTATAGACCTCAAGTCCCATTGATGAAGACTTTGAAGGACTACAACATGCTTGTGCCCGACCTCAAGCCTCTGGTAATACGCCCTCAGGGCAAATTCCTTTGAGAATCCCTCATGTTCACTTTCTGTCAGATCACACATGTTTAGAGCTGGAAAGGTTCTTAGAGATAACCTTCCAGGCCTTTCATTTCACAGATAAGAAAACTTAGGCTCAGTGGTTTCCCCTCATTAGAATGAATCCCCAGCTGCTCACCAGCCTCATGGCATCCATAGATCATGTTATTTATATACTTCCCCTTGCGTGCTTTTTTTTTTTTTTTTTTAGTTTTCTTTTTTATTTTTCCCTTGTGTGCTTTTGTTTTTAACTTTGCTATTTATTTATTTATAAATATTTGTGGATTTATTTATTTGGCTGTGCCAGGTCTCATTTGAGGCACACAGGATCTTTAGTTGCTGATTTGATCTCTTTAGTCGCGGAATGTGGGCTTTAATTCCTTGACCAGGGATGGAACCCAGGCCCCCTGCATTGGGATTGTGGAGTCTTAACCACTGGACCACCAGGGAAGTCCCCCCACCTTGCATTCATATAGCATCCGTTACAGCAGTTGCTGCTTCTTTTCCCCCTGTGGTCTCTTTCCCTAGATTTCAGGCTCCTTTGTGGCACATAGCAGGAGTTCAGTTGTTTGTGCCGAGCTGACCTGAAGGATTGGCCTAGGCCACACAGCTAGTTATTGACACGGTGACAACCAGTACTAGGTTTCTATGTCCTTCCCTACTCCCGAAGACTGAGTTTTACCATCATTTTCCTTTCCTTGCATGACACCTTAGCAAAGGGTTAGTAATAGCCAACACTACAGTCAACATAACATTGTGCCCTTTTGGGGCCTTGGGTTCTGTGTAACTTAGCAATTGCTTCCTGTTACATGGGAAGTTAGCCTTGGATCAACAGCTGGGGTATGGCACAAGACAAGATATAAATGGACCACAGGTACTGATACAGACATTTTAAAAATTGTGCACTTTCTCTCTTTTAAGGTATGTAACCATCTGTTTTAAAGCCAGGATTATCCATCTGCTGAGCCATGCAGCTCTGTCCATGGTCATGTCTCAACTGTCTGAACCCAGGCTGGGCAAGTGTAGGTTCTGAACATACTCCCTTCCTCCTATTGCGCACTCCAGCTTGCGTCTCTAACCTTATTCAGGCCTCCTTCACAGTTGCAAGCAAGAGTTTTAAGAAGCTGTACGCTTTTAGATGAACAGTTAAATTCTCAGGAAAATATGTGTTTGAAGTTCCCAAACCTGGGTCTCTGGCCACGCCGTTCTTTCTGTGAAGCCTCTGCCCATGATCACTCTCTGTGTGAGCCTGACCTGTGCGTGGCCACTTCACTTGCATTTGAAAGAGGGGTGAGTAGGAGAGAGAAATTATGCGGCAGGCAGGTCAGAAAACCACGGCTAGTTGGCTGCAAACATCTGAAGTACGTGTAGAAGAAGCATCTGATTTCTACTCTGTTTCCTCCTTTCAGCCTTTCTCTTCCCCCCTTCCCACTACGGCTCTGATATACATCCTCTCCATACCAGGCAATACAACAGGGGTAACAGTGGGGTACACACTGGGTTCCATGCCCAGTTCTGCTGATGACTTTTTTCTGCATGACCTTTGGCATCTTGGGCATGTCATTCCACCCCAAGGCCCCACCTTCCCTTCATATAAAATAAAGGAGAGAGTTAGACTCTCCAATCTCTAACTTCCCCTCCAGCTCTAAATTGTGCTTATTAGAAGTTCATTTATGCTTTCTAGGGCGTTTGAAGAGAGCAGCAAGAAGGAGAACCGCGATGCTTCTCCACTGGTGGGGGTTCAGTGTCTTCAGTCAGTTCAGTCCAGTCGCTCAGTCGTGTCCGACTCTTGACGACCCCATGGACTGCAGCACGCCAGACCCCCATGTCCATCACCAACTCCCGGAGCTTGCTCAAACTCATGTCCATTGAGTCGGTGATGTCATCCAACCATCTCATCCTCTGTCGTCCCCTTTTCCTCCCTGCTTCAATCTTTCCCAGCAGCGGGGTCTTTTCCAATGAGTCAGCTCTTTGCATCAAGTGGCCAAAGTTGCAGCCTCAGCATCAGTCCTTCCAATGAATATTCAGGACTGATTTCCTTTAGGATTGACTGGTTGGACCTCCTTATAGTCCATGGGACTCTGAAGAGTCTCCTCCAACACCACAGTTCAAAAACATCAGTTCTTCTGTGCTCAGCTTTCTTTATAGTCCAACTCTCACATCCATACATGACTACTGGAAAAACCATAGCTTTGACTAGATGGACCTTGTCGGCAAAGTAATGTCTCTGCTTTTTAATATGCTGTCTAGGTTGGTCATAACTTTTCTTCCAAGAAGCAAGCATCTTTTAATTTCATGGCTGCAGTTACCATCTGCAGTGATTTTGGAGCCCCCCCAAAANCCAATTGTGTGGTAGTTTGAACAATCTTTATCATTGCCTTTCTTTGGGATTGTAATGAAAACTGACCTTTTCCAGTCCTGTGGCCACTGCTGAGTTTTCCAAATTTGCTAGCATATTGAGTGTAGCATTTTCACACCATCATCTTTTAGGATTTGAAATAGCTTAACTGGAATTCTGTCACCTACACTAGCTTTGTGCGTAGTGATGCTTCCTAAGACCCACACATTCCGGGATGTCTGGCTCTAGGTGAGTGGTCATACCATCGTAACTATCTGGGTCATGAAGATCTTTTTTTGTATAACTTCTTCTGGTGTATTCTTGCCACCTCTTCTTAATATCTTCTGCTTTGGTTAGGTCCATACCGTTTCTGTCCTTCACTGTGTCCATCTTTGCATGAAATGTTCCCTTGGTATCTCTAATTTACTTGAAGAGATCTCTAGTCTTTTCCTGTTCTGTTGTTTTCCTCTATTTCTTTTCATTGATTACTGAGGAAGGCTTTCTTATCTCTCCTTGCTATTCTTTGGAACTCTGTATTCAAATGGTTTTATCAGTGTCTTGGCTTTTGCTAAAGGTAGTACTTTTATAGTGGGCTTGCCATTGCCTACCAGGCCACCTTCTGGACCTAAAGAATGGCAGGGGGATGTGAGCACTTGCCAATAGGGCTGGCTAGTCTGTGTGTCCACTTCTCCATAAACCATAGCTGTATAATGTGGGAAGGAAAATTGGATACTGGTCCTGTGTGCCCAGAGGCCTACAAAGTATCTTCCTGAGAATTGGGGAGGAGTGACTTGAGATGCTTGAGGCCAACGAGAACAGAAGACAGTTGAATTAGCTCATTAGTACTCAAGACCCCACCCCCAGTCTTTAAGTGGTGTTTGGTGGCCAGGAGACACAGTTAGCACCCTGGGAATGCCCAGCTAATGGTCTTTTCTGCTTGGAATCGGCAGTGAACAAACAGTTCTTGGTTTCAACGCCCCCTGGTGTCTGTTGACAGGAATCAGGTCAGTTTGCCTTCCTGAAAAGACAAAACCCCATTTGTCTCCGGAAATAACTGTGCGGCTATAACTGAAAGGCCAGTAAATGGCTTGATTGTATTCTGAGTGTCAGAATATAGTTCTCCCCTCTGAGCAAGGAAAATAAACTTTCAGAGCAAAAACCTCTTCTACAGTACTCAATCCAAGCCCAATTAGGAAACACTTTATTTATGTAGTTTATTTATTATTCTAGACCAGACCAGGAAAACTCCAGAGACTGAAAATCATAATCTAGGTTTGCAAAAATTTATTAAAAATGCGTTTAATTTATTCTTTCAGGTGAAGAAAAGTTCCAAATGAGAGAAAACTTTGGAAAAAATGCTGAAATTTTGACCAAGTCTCAATTCCAGCCTATACGAAGGTATATGCCATTATTTTATTCACAGTTTCAGACTTATAGACGTAATGTTAATTGATGGTAATGCCCCATATTTATATGTTGCTCTTCTTCAAATATAATAGCCACCATGTTATAACAATAAGCTTTAGGCAGTTTAGGTTTGTTAGGACTTGTTCAGCAGAATTGTGAAGGGTCATGGAAAGGAGCTGTCATCTGCATCCGGATCTTGACTCTACTTTTCTAACTGTACGACCTTGGTCAGATTTCTCTTCTAGGTGTGTGTGTGTGTGTTAGTCGCTCATTCGTGTCCAACTCTTTGTGGCCCCATGGACTGTAGCCTGCCAGGCTCCTCTGTCCATGAAATTCTCCAGGCAAGGATATTGGAGTGGGTAGCCTTTCCCTTCTCTGGGGATCTTCCCAACCAGGGATCAAACCCAGGTCTCCTGCATTGCAGGTGGATTCTTTACCAACTGAGCTACTTAATGTTATGTAGCACACAGCCCCCAGATTCTAGTGGCTTACAACAACAAAAACTGCTTTTGTGTTCATGTTCCGTGTCTATCAGGGATTGGCTAGAAGTGTTCTGTGCTGTATTACTTTCTCTCAGAAATCCACGGTGTGGGAGACTCCATCTTTATGCTTCCTTTTTTGCTGAGGCAGGAAAAAGAGAACATGGTGAATTGTGCACTGGACTTTTAAAAGTTTCTGCCCCAAAGTGAATCACATCACTTTCACTTACATTTCATTGGTTAAAGCAAGTCATATGGTCATTTATGTAAATTAGGCAGACCAGAAAGTACTGTCTTATGTTGTGCTCAGAAAAAGAAATATTTTTTGAATGAATTAATAGTCACAACCCAATCTAAAATCCATTCTCTTTCCTTTATACCACTGGTCTCATAGGGATTGCTACAAAGATTAGAAATGTGGAAACATTTGGGAGGATTTAGCATGAGATCGGGCTTATAGTTTGTGTCTGAATATTGAAAATGTATCTTAAATATTGGTTAAAGTAGAAACAAGTCAAGTTTGTCTTCAGAATTCTTTTCTAGCCTTTCTTTGACACAAGCCTCTCTTGGCCTCCCCTGATCTTCCATGGCAGGAAGCTGCCTCATAGTTGGTGAGACCCCCGTGACTGTGTCTCTTGCTCCAAGCTCCATCCCCAGCAAAGTACTCCATTGACTTCCTCAGAAGCTTGCTCAGCCAGTAGCATCATAGGTTGACTGCAGGTGGGCTGACCTTTCAGTTCATTTCAGTTCAGTTGCTCAGTCCTGTCCAACTCTTTGCAACCCCGTGGACTGCAGCATGCCAGACCTCCCTGTCCATCACCAACTCCCAGAGTTTACTCAGACTCATGTCCATCGAGTTGGTGATGCCATCCAACCATCTCATCCTCTGTCATCCCCTTTTTCTCCAGCCTTCAATCTTTCCCAGCATCAGGGTCTCTTCCAATGAGTCAGTTCTTCACATCAGGTGGCCAAAGTATTGGAATTTCAGCTTCAGCATCAGTCCTTCCAATGAATCAGGACTGATTTCCTTTAGGATGGACTGGTTGGATCTCCTTGCTGTCCAAGGGACTCTGAAGAGTCTTCTTCAGAACTGCGGTTCGAAAGCACAGAGAGTGTTTATTTAGTCTCTGAAGAGGAAACAGTGGCCCAGACATGCCTGTGAACGTGTGGCTCATCAGGAGCAGTCAGGATCGAACCCCTCACTTTCGACTCTGAGCTCAGTGTCCTTCCTGCTGCATCCCACACTGTCCTTGGACCATGCTGTTGCACTCTGCTGACAGAAGATTTATGTAATTTTCTCACTTTCTCTCTTAACAGTACTGAAGGTGAACAAGACGAGACATTAAAGGAGCCACCAAAGGAAATGAAAGAGAAAGATATGTATGGCCACCAGAAATTGCTTAAGGATTCTGTGCAGTCTTAGTTTTAGGGGAATGGTGTTTTCTTATTTGTAAGAGTTTCTGTGTTCTTCCTATTTTTATATATACATGTAACATGAGCCTGTTTCTCCTTTCACCAAAAAGCTGCTGTGATGATGTGATCTAAATTGATAGCATCTTACAATCAAGGGAATACAGTGATAATAAGAATATAATCTTATACTTAAGGTAGATTAAATCTGTTTTCCACATTAATATACTTTCACCTTTGGAATTTATTTTTAGCTGCTGAGAAATGTTTGAAGTTAGTATCTCTTTCTAAGATATTCTCTGATACTCTCTTTAAGATATCTTAAGTATCTTATAGATATCTTATGGATATTCTAAAGTATTCTCTGATTTTGGCCTCTTGCCAAATAAAGATTTTTGTGAAGAGCATCTTTAACAAGTACCTCTTAGGAATATAGTGTTTGATTTTTCTAAGTATCTCCCAGTTACTCTATGCTTTTAATACTTTAGATCACTGACAGACATTCAGGACCTGTCTAGTATCTCCTATGAACACGACGGTTCTTTCAAGGAAGTCTCATGCAAAACACCCAAAATAAACCACGCACCTACTAGTGTCAGTACTCCACTCAGCCCAGGTACTGTCTCACAGGGGGGTGTTCTGGGAGGGGAGCCAATAGCTCCTGTCTCATTGGCTGTGGGGAGCCAGGTTGTGGGCGTAGACCGGCAGATGGGTGTTTCCTCACAGTGCAGCGGGGTTTCTTTAGGGCCAGAGCGGAAGGGGATGATCCCATGGGAGGCCAGGGGTGATGGTGATGGTGGTGGTGATTAACTAGCTATTGTTGTTCAGTAGCTCAGTCGTGTCTGACTCTCTGCAACCCCATGGATTGCAGCACACCAGGCTTCCTGTCCTTCACTATCTCTCCGAGTTTGCTCAAACTCACGTCCATTGAGTTGATGATGCCATCCAACCAGCTATAAGGAGATTTTTTAACTCGAGCGATGCTACTGTTGCTGCTAAGTTGCTTCAGTCGTGTCCGACTCTGTGCGACCCCATAGATGGCAGCCCACCAGGCTCTGCTGTCCCTGGGATTCTCTAGGCAAGAACATTGGAGTGGGTTGCCATTTCCTTCTCCAAACTCTAGCAATAGAGACCTGTCAATGCCAAGTCTACTTTGTACTTGAAGCACTGTTGAATTTTGGGCAAATACAGTGGGATCTCTACAAGGGCTTTCCTGGCGGCTCAGATGGTAAAGAATCTGGCTGCAATGCAGGAGACCCAGGTTCAATCCCTGGGTTGGGAAGATCCCCTGGAGAAGGAGATAGCAACCCACTCTAGTATTCTTGCCTGGAAAATCCCATGGACAGAGGAGCCTGGCAAGCTATAGTCCATGGGGTCACAAAAGCTGGACATGACTGAGTGGTTAACACTTTCACTTTCACATTGGATTTTTTATAGAATTAGTAACTTAAAACAGTATCTTGTACTTAAGCATACAGTCCTGTAACCGCATACAGCCAGCATCAAACACCCTCTTTTTAGTGTCCTTGTTTCAGTATATTTGTGGTTCAAATAATCTCCCTTTATTTTGATGACCAGGTTTAGAGACTATCATTTTGTATACCTTATGGAGCTTTGTCTCAGATCAGTTATTATTTCAGTTATTGACAATCTGGGAAATTCCTATTATAGATAAAGAGTTTTATGGGTTTTGTGTGTGTGTCTGTTTGTGTGTTATTGTTGTTTTTAAATAATGTAAAGTATTCAGACACTGACTGTCCTCTTTTCTACAACAGGGTCAATTTCTTCAGTTTCTAGTCAGTATAAGGACTGCCTTGAAAGTATCCCATTTCAGGATACTAAAACAGGATCTACCTCATGCTGGACCAGTCAAGAATCTACTCAGACTTTGTCTGATAAATTTACAAGTGTCCGAGAGAAAGTAAAGAGCCTAGATTCCCTTCTTACTTCCTCTGAAATTCTCCCTGCAAGACTGACTAATCTCGTAAGTATATAGACTCTGCGTTGCACCCTCATGGAGTGATTCCAAAGGCATCAGTGATCCAAAAGGTCAAGATTTCTCCATATCTATTTTACAGAGAAAGGAAGAAATAAGATGGGTCCTCCCCAGGCTTCCCTGGGGCTCCTCTCTGATCCTGGGCTTTTGTACCCTTTCCTCTCCCTGACCCCACCAGAGATAATGTTTGGCAATTTCTCTAAAGAGCCGGCCTCTGCCATAGCTTATGGTGCTACCTTCATCTGCATTGTTCTTTCAGTCTAACGGTATTTTACATGCTGCTTCTTCCTTGAAGCCTCCTCTGGTGAGTTCTCAGAGAGTTCTGATTGATCCGTACCTTGTTCCTGAACCAGTAATCTGCAGTAAAAACACTGAAAGCTGCCTTCTCCTGGCTTCCTCCCCTTCCCAGTGCTGTTTGCTTTTTTCCTTCTTTCCTTCTCGCTCTCCTTCATATTTCACATGTAGTCCTTTCAGGAAAACTACCAAGTTCCTTCCTTGGTACTGCTCATTAAAAATCCGTTGACTAACCCTTGTGTCGCTTCCCTGGTGGCTCAAAAATAAGGAATCCACCCACCAATGCAGGCGATGTGAGTTAGATCCCTGGGTCAGGAAAATCCCTTAGAGAAGGAAATGGCAACCCAGCCCAGTATTCTTGCCTGGGCAATCCCATGGACAGAGGAGCCTGGCGGGCTTCTGTCTGTGGGTTCGCAAAAGAGTTGGACATGACTTAGCGATTAAACAACAACGAACAGACCGTTCTCTAGGCAGATTGATTACTTGTTTGGCCCTCAATGAAAAAAACCACTGTCATCTTCTTTGGGCATTTGACTCACAAAAAGTCTCATTCTGAAGTAGGGAATTTAAGAATTACATGCTTTTGTTCAATGCACTATTAATAGGGCAGGTTCTAAGGGCCTGACACTATGCCAGGCCCTCTGATAGGCATCCAAAAGTGAGTAAAACAGTCCCTGCCCTGAAGGAGCTCAGGGCCTGGTGAGAGGACTGGCATGACGTAACACAGAGCTTTCAGTGTAGGCTGGGTGCTGTGGAGGCAAAGACGGTGGGAAGCTTCCAGGAGAAGGTGACATTTGAATTTGACTCAATCAACAAAACAAGTGGCTTCTTCCATGAATGATACACACACTTAATTTTGGAAATGACTGAGCTTAACAGGCCCTTTTAGCTTAATAATGTGTGTGTAAATTACCATGTTTGTGTCTTATTTATAGAAAAGATTGCCTACCTTTACTGGGGCTGGTTCCTCCAGCGCTGCTAAGGCGCCTGACGCATCATGCAGTGCCACTCAGAGAAGGAGCCTGCCAAAAGGTACCCTGTGTTTAGTATTAAAATATAAGCTCATAATTAGTAGGCCTATTTAAGAGAGCCTTCATCTCATCTTTGATGCTATAGTAGGTTTAAACAAAACTGCTAATTTCCCCCGACTATAAAAATTAAACATACTTGTTATAAAACACTTGGAGCTTAAGGGACTTCCCTGGTGGTCCAGTAGCTAAGATGCTCCCAGTGTAGGGGGCCCAGGTTCAATCCCTGGTCAGAGAACTAGATGCCACGTGTCATAACTGAGTGTTTGCACACAGCAACTAAATATCCCACATGCTGCAACTAAGATTTGGTGCAGCCAAATAAATAATTTTTTTTCAAAGAAATTAAAAGAGAAAACTACCATCATTCAACCATCATTTTTTAACCTCTTGTACTATTTTGGTACATATTTTTTTTTATGCTTTTAGAACTATACCCCCCCATATATTTATATATATACATACACATATATATGTATTTAGCATAGCTAAGATCATATATCAGATCTGACTGCTTCTTTTTCTTCAGTGATATATTTTATAATTTCCACTTGACAGTAAAAATTACTCATAAATATGAGATGACTGCATACTAGTCCATTCTACATATGTTGCCTAACCTTGCTTTCATATTGAAGATTTATGTTGCTTTCTAATTTTTGCTCTTTGTACAGAAATCTTTATCTGAATCTCTGGTCTTTTCTTTAGGATAGTCTTAGAAAACAATTTTCAGGTTAAAGGGTCTGAGAGTTTTAACAGCTCTTGAGGCCTTTGCTACACTAATCTTGTTGTCTTGTGTCTTTGGTATAAGTCTTAGAATTTCTCTCAAGGGGCTAGAGTTATTTCAAACTGTGCTGAGGGGTTTTGGTTACTGTTATGATTGATCCCTTAGGTGAAGTTCCAAAGTATGGTTTCCCATATCCCCTGCCTGGGTAATCTACTCAGAAAGACCCCCACTTTGTGTTTCATTCATTTTGACGGGTCTAGAGTTTCTTTATTCCTCCAACAGCCTTGGTCCAAATTGGACCCCTGGCCTTTTAGTAAGAATTTATACCTCACCTATGCCAAATATCCTTGGAGAGGGCCACAGATCAGGTGGTACTGAGGTGAGCAGGGAGGTAGGAGAGAGTTTAGAGGAAAAGGGAGAGTAAAGCCATTCACATATGAAGTCTCAATAGGACTGTTCATGTAAGAGGATTTCTCCTTGTCTTAGCTTATTTCATCGGTGAGAAATTCTAAGTCAAATCTGTATGGAAGCCTAGCAAGTCTAGTTCAGGTCCAGGAAGGTGTTCAGTTACTTTCTCTTTATCTTTCTTAAGAACTCGTAGAAGCCATCTCGCAACATCACATCGATGAGCTACCACCACCATCTCAGGAGCTGCTTGACGAAATTGGTAAGGCATGCACAATGCAGAATATCCTTCATGGCCCTGCTTGTTGTGGTCACTGACCACGTATGGTTCTTTGTTTCAGGTGTGAGCACTAGTACAGAAGGCCCTATGAAGGTCTGACTGGATGGACAGAATTCAGGATTCAGTTTTCCAATGATAGGCCTCAGACTACTACTAAAGCCTGGCCAGCATATGTGGCCTGTGTCTGTGGTCATGTTCTTCCTTAAGGGTCTACGGTAGTGATTCTAAGAGGGAATAACAACATCCAAGTGGTTTATCATGATGAACTTCTTTTATGAAAGGAATTCTCACCTCCCTTTTGAATCAAACTAGCTATACTTCAGCGCTACTGAATTCTGGCACCTCGGGCCAAAACATCCTGCGCTTTCCATTCTGCCGTTAGCAGGAGATTTTAAGGTATTGGCATTGTGGAAGAATCCCTTTCCTGAGGGCAGGGAAGTCAGTGGCGCAAGATCTCATGAGACCAGAATTTTTCATTTGAGGCAGAGACTGAGGGATACCCGCTCAATGTTGGTTGCAGCTGATGCGTGGGCCCTGCCCAGCTGAGCTGCGGCTGGAGTCAACAGTGCTGGTGGTAGAGGCGTCTGGGCCGGGTGGTTTGTTTCCCAGGCGGGGAGGACTAACTGCTGTCTTCTTGCCAGCCTAGCTGACCAGCCCCTCACTCTTGGAGGGTACATCTCATCAGGCCTCTGATGGGCCAGTTCTTGGTATAGGACTTGGAGGGGGTCTCCTGACGGGCATCTCTTGGTTGGCAGGGCCTCTGAGGTCTGGTGTCTCATCAGGAAGAGAGAGGTGAATGAGGCCTTACGTGATCAAACTCAGTGGACAGATATGGTCTAGGCTGCCCAACCCCTAACCCCTGGCCACTGGCCTTGTGAACTTGGGTGAAGGCAGTCCGACCTGCCAGAACCTTCCCTGGCTTCTTTCTCTTTCTGCAGTTACAGGCCCTTGTTGCCTCGCCACAGCCCTCCCTGGTGCCCCAGGGCCACACGGGTCACAGGGCTGGGGTCAGGCTCTCGGGCTCTCCAGCCCACACCAGCTTTCGTCCTCTGGAGCCCACTGCCGCACCCTTGCAAGCTGCTCCTCTGCAGTTGCTCTCCTTCATGTAATAATGGAGCTGCTGCTGGTGAGAGGAGCGGTCACCCCCACCTGTCCTCTCTCAGTGCCGTCTGGTTTCCAGTCCTGGGTGAGGACAGACCTGTGGGCTCCTTTGCAGAGTGACCTCAGTGATGCCCTTCCCCTGGATCCTGCTCTCTCTCTGCTGTCCCCAGGCTTCCGTCTGGGCCCCAGCCTCTTGGCACTGCTCTACCCCAGCATGCTCTGCAGAAACTCTCCCTCTTTTTACCTCTGGTAATTTTCTGGGCCAGGTTTCTAGGCGATGTCTTATACTTTGAGATGGGTCAGTAATTTTCCAGAAAGATAAAGGGCAGAGGGTACCTGAGTAGTGGGTATGCCTACCTGATTATTGCTAATCATTGCTGTCATCATTTCCTCTCCGGAGAGCTGTGGGGAGTGACCTACAGCAGACACCTGCTCCTTTGAAGGGCACTTATGCAAAGCTCCAGGCTTCTGTCCAGGGCCTCAAGGAGGGGGTCCTTTAGAATCCTGTAAGATCAGCAAGGACTTCTTTAACAAGGATAACAATGGATTTTTAAGTTTCAGATTATATTACATGAGCTTTATGGGGCCCCTTAGTGCCCAGAAGCTGCCAGGTAGGGCTTGCTTCCTGACCTGCTAGAAGAGAGAGACTTGTGCCTGCACACAGCAGGGCCAGTGAGCCTGGGGGCCCAACTGTGCTGCCTCCCAGCTGTCTCTCTGCTAGGCTCTGGGGAGCAGTCTGAGGAAAGGGAGGACCTCACACTTGTGAAGCAGTATACTGAGTTTAGGAGATGCTTGTTTTGGTCTAGTGGTCAGTTCTTTAGGAATCGTAAATTATATTCTTTGCAAGAGTATATAAAATAGAGATTAAGAGCGTAAACCTTAGAACTAGACTGCCTGTACTCAAATCCCAATTCTATCACATTACTATCTAATTCCTTTACCTTTCTTTTTCTTCAATTAATTTTTTAATTGAAGGATAATTGCTTTACAGAATTTTGTTGTTTTCTGTCAACCTCAATGTGAATCAGCCATAGGTATAAATATATCTCCTCCCTTTTGTGATTCCTTTTCCTTTCTTCACCTTAATTTGCTCATCTGTCAAACAGGAATAACAATAATATGATCAATCTCAGGGTTGTTGTGAAGATTAACTCAAGGTGTTAATCTTGAATTGAGATTGGTGGTACTAGTGGTAAAGAACCTGCCTGTCAATGTAGGTAGACGTAAGAGACACAAGTTCAGTTCCTGTGTTGGGAAGATCCCTTGGAATAGGAAATGGCAACCCACTCTAGTGTTTTTGTCTGGGAAATTCCATGGACAGAGGAGCCTGGTGGGCTGTAGTCCATGGGGTCACACACAGCTGTACACAGTTGAGTGTGCATTCAGGAAGGAATCTTGAATTAATGTATACAAATTGGAAATAGTACCTGCTCTGCAAGTGCTGCCTATTATGGTCATCATTTTTACGTTTATGTTTAGTGTTACGTGGAATTGAATACAGTGGTTCTCAAGTGCCATCAGGCATCAGACTCATTTGGAGGGCTAGGTAAAACATCCACACCCCCAGAGTTTCTGATTCAGTAAGTCTGAGGTGAGGCCTGAGAATCTGCAGATATAACAAGTTCTCAGTTGATACTGAGGCTGTGGGTCTGGGAGCTACTCTTTGAGAACCGCTGCCCCAGAGGATGACGTGACATGCAGATCTGTTTTCTGTTGTGACAGAGCTCCTGAAGCGGCAGCAGGTCTCATCCACAGCCTTGGATGAGAACACAGCAAGTCATCCGGACAGCGCTGCAGATGGTAAGCCAGATCGTCACATCTTTTTTGGGCTGCTCAGGTGGCTCAGTGGTAAAGATTCCACCTGCCAATGCAGGGGACACAGAAGTTGTTGGTTCGACCCCTGAGTCAAGAAGATACGCTGGAGGAGGAAATGGCAGCCTACTCTAGCATTCCTGCCTGGAGAGTCCCGTGGACAGAGGAGCCTGGCAGGCTGCAGTCCGTGGGGTCGCAGAGAGCTGGATGGGACTGAGCACACGCCGACCCTTTCACCAGGTTTTGCTGTAACTGTCCTTGCAGCACAGTGGTACACCTGGGGGGTGTGCACTTTGGAATCAGGCACTCTCCACTTCAATTCTGACTCCATGGCTTATTTTGGTCTGACAAACTGTTTTACATCCCTGAGCCTCAGTTATCCTCATTTGTCAAACAAGAATGGTAACTCCACCTAACGGTGTTCATGCACAGTGCCTGGTACGTTGTAAGATACTTAGCAAGTGTTAGACTCCTTCCTCTCATAGAACTTCTGGCAGGATGAAATGGGAAAGCATATGTAACATGCCTGGCGTACATTAAAGGGCACTGCCCTTCCCCACCCAGATTCCTTCCCTGGCTTCAATATGGAAGCATCTAACAAGTGTGAAGAGGGTGGTCCCCCGAAATAAATCTGTACAACTTGTTTTCTGGGTCTCTCGCGGACTCTTTTATGTGCCATTTCTTTCCTCTGTCTCTCTTGAGCCTTGTCACAGGCACGGTTTCCTATAGTTTCACCTGGCAGAGAGCTCCCCAGACCTCCGAAGCAGCTGCTTTCGATACGGGCACCCTGCAGATTGCCACCTGGCCCCCTGCTCTTCTGGGCAGAGGGGAACTCGTGCTTTGCAGGCTTCAGGGTCCATGATTAGCCTTCATTTTTTGCACTCCATTTTAAGGCAGGTTTTCTAAAAAAAAACTTTTTTTGCTCTAATAAAGTCTTTCAACTGTTTCTAGATCAAAAGCATTTAGAAGAACAAGAAACTCACAGTAATAAAGAAGACAGTAGTGTGCTTTGGACCAAAGAAACCCAGGATCTAGAAGAGGACACAGAGAGGTAACAGAAAAAGCTGTATTTTTTTGAAGGGTTTAGAAAACTGTAGAGTTAATTTATGTTAGTTTTTCTTCTGATATTGACAAATAAGGAAAAAAGGGTCTTTTTTTCATGTTATCCTTATAGCCCCTGTAAGTATTTTTATAAAAGACCTAGAAGTATTTTTTTACCAAGTTTTTAATTGTGATAAAATACTCACAACATAAACATTTTAAGTGTACTATTCAGTAGTACTAAGTATATTCACATTGTTGTACAACTGACCTTTTTCATCCTGCAAAACTGAAACTCTGTACCCATTAAACAACTCATTTCCTCCTCCCCTCCTTCCCTAGCAACCAGCAGTTCTACTCTCTTTCTCTGAGTTTGACCACTCTTGATACCTCCTGTAGGTGAAATCATGCCATAGTTGTTGTCTTGTCACTGGCTTATTTCACTTAGCATAATGTCCTCAAGGTTCATCTGTGTAGCATGTCAGAATTTCCTTTATTCTTAAGACTGAATTCCATTGAGAGGGTGTGTGTGTATCACATTTTGTTTATCCATTCATCTGCTTGTGGACACTAGGTTGCTTTTACCTTTTCACTGTTGTGAGTAATGCTGCTGTGAATGTGAGTATACAAATATCTTTTTAAGACGCCCTGCTTTCATTTCTTTAGAATATATATATATATATATATATATATATATGCAGGAGTGGTATTGCTGGATCACATGATAAATCTATTTTTATTTTTTTGAGGAAATGCCATCCTTTTTTCTGCAGCAGCTGCACCATTTTACATTCCCACAAACAGTGCAAAAGGGTTCCAGTTTCTCCACATCCTTACCAATACTTATTATCTTTTTTATAATTTATCTTTAATTGGAGGATAATTGCTTTATTTTCTGTTTTTTTTGTTGTTGTTGTTGTTAGTAGCCATCCTAATGGGTGTGAGGTGATGTCTTATTGTGGTTTTGATTTGCGTTTCTCTAATGATTAGTGGTGTTGAGCATCTTTTTGTATGTGGGTGGTCATTTGTGTATCTTCTTTAGAGAAATTGCCCAGTTTTAAAATAGGATTATTTGTTTTTTTTTTCCTCGTCAAGTTGTTTTTTGTTTTGGTTTTTACTTCATTTTGTGAGGCAAACATAGGTTTCAGTTTCTTTCAAAACATTTAGTTAAAGAGAATTTTTAGGTCTTCCTAGCCAAATAAGAAAAGATGGGGGCAGTGATCCAGACAATTCAGTCTAAAAACACAAGTTTCCCTCAAGGGACCCAATTCTGCTCTTGACTTGGAGCTCTCCTTGGAGCTGCATTGCAAGGTAAACCACCTCAGTGCAACTCCTTTGCCTCCTGCCTTCTCTAACTTTGTCCAAGCTGTCAAACTGTGTCCCAGACTCAGGGCCGGGACTCAGGGGAGGTGAAGGCGACAGCCTCCATGGGCACAAAATTGAAGAAGGCACCAAAAAGCTCAGAAGTCAAGAAAGTATTGTTTTAATGCCATATTTGTAAAAATCAATACTAGTGCAAAAAAAAAAAATCCACATTTTGATGAACAGAATATTTACATTTTAAAGGAAGAGAGGCTGTGAATCTACACTTAACACCACTTGCCTCAACCTCCTCCTGGCCCAGCAGATGAAGCCATGCAGAATATGTTCAGCTGCAAATATTAGAAAAATGCACTTAAAAATACCACTCCTGTTCAGATGAGTTTGTCTCACCAGCGGTTGGCAGGGCTTGGCTGGTGTAGAATCAGTGATGCCTCTGGGGACTTAGGCTCTTCTGATCTCTCTGCCCTGCCAGACATAGCAGGTTGCCTTTTGTTTTCAGACTTGTCAACTTTTGGACAAGGTGGCTTCTGTGCCCATTGCAGGCAGAAATAAGAGGGTGGGGCAAGAGTCTAGCCCACTCTGTGCTTGTCTATCTGGAAAGCAAAAAATTTTCCTAGAAGCCCTTCTCAGCAGATGTCTACTTGTATCTTCTTGGCCAAATAGGACACATGGCCACCCTTAGTTGCCAGGGAGACTGGAAATTGAGTTTTTAGCTTTCAGCTGCTATAGAAGAGGAAGGTGAGGGAGGAGAGGGTTATGAACAACTTCTGGGTAGTGAACCCTGCTTCTGTCACACTCTTCAAGGGCTGCACTATTCTTTACAAAGAAGGAAAAGAGAGAGACCTGGGTGGGAAGATCTTAGGAGGAGACTAGAGCCCTGGGACCTGAGAGGGAGGAGGGAGAGGGTTGTTTTTGAGTCGGGAGACGGAGAAGACAAAGAGGCAAATCAGGAGGCAAGCTTTTGTCTGTGACGTATGATGTGACTCCATTCCTTCCATCTCCCTAGCGCATCTTCAGTAAACATCTGTGCCTTTATTTAAGGCAAAAGGAGAGTAGCCCAGGAAGGCTGAGTTACATTCAGTTACACAAGTACCGACTGCTTTGCACATGATCAGAAGTTAGCTGCTGTTATCACTGCCTCTCCCTTTTCCCGAAGGGCCGGCTGTGCTGGCCGTGGGTGGATGGCCACAGCTGCTCAGTCATCTCAGTCCTGCACCAAGCCAGAGTGGAAGAGATTTTTTTCAGACAGTTTGGACTTTTCAGGCCTCTGAAAACACATTATCCTCGTCCTGTAGCCTCAGAGGCAGTTCTTAATCTGGAAAACTTGCGGGAATGAGTGTGCAGTTCTAGCCCCAGGTGGAAGTTGACGTAATGACCTAGAATTGAGACAGAGTCTAGTATCGCACTTTGGGAGGCAGTGATATTGTGGGTGCTGAGGCTTTTTTTTAAAAAATTAATTTTATTTTTGGCTGTACTGGATGTTCGTTGCTGTGCGCACGGGCTCTCTCTAGTTGCGGGAGCAGGGGCTGCTCTTCTTTGTGGCGCTCAGGCTTCTTACTGCTGTGGCTTCTCTTGTGGAGCACAGGCTGTAGGCGTGCGGGCTTCAGTAGTTGTGGCACATAGGTTTAGTTGCTCTGTGGCATATGGGATCTTCTCGGACCAGGGATCGAACCTGTGTCCCCTACATTGGCAGGTGGATTCTTTTCTGTGTATGTACTTACGCATGTGCGTGCATGCTAAGTTGCTTCAGTCGTGTCCGACTCTGCGATCCTATGGACTGTAGCCCCCCAGGCTCCCCTGTCCATGGGATTTTCCAGGCAAGAATACTGGACTGGGTTGCCATGCCTTCCTCCGTGAGATCCTCCCACCCCAGGGATCAAACCCATGTCTCTTACGTCTCTGGCATCGGCAGATGGGTTCATTACCACTAGTTCCACCTGGGAAGCCTGTGTGTGCTTATAAACAACAGAAATTTATTTCTCACTGTTGTGGAGGCTGGAGGTCTAAGATCAGGTTGAGGCAGGTAGGTGGTACAACCACTGTACCGGTAATAGGACGTCCCGGGGCTGAGGCTGTTTGTCAAGAGGTTGAAGGAGGGTCCTGGTGTGCATTTACATGGGCTCCCAGTGACCTCCACGGCTCAGGTACGGTCTCACCGAGCTCGCGCTCTCTCCTGTGTGCAGTGTGAAGGTCCTTTCCCACTTTAGAGGGTGTGCCTCCTTGTCAGGGGATGGGGGAGGATCGCTGTCTCATTCTCTTCCTTTGCCTTGGACAGAGCTCACTCTACACTCGACGAGGACCTGGAGAGATGGCTGCACCCCCCCGAGGACAGCACGCAACTAGCGGATCTGCCCAGGGGCCCGGCAAGGTTCTTATTCTCCACCAGGGCGTCCTTTCCTTCTTTCTCAGGAAGGGGGACTAGATTTTAGTTGTTTTTTTTTTTAATAAATTTTATTATTAGTTTTTTAGAAAGTACATCGACTTCTTGGAGAATGAATGTTTGGCCAAGGTATTATGTCACTGTAGATAAGCCGGCCCCAGCTCCTGTCTGCCCCTCTCCTTCCAGCCGCCTACCGTGCTCACTATGCTGACTAGCAGATTGATATCAGTGCAGAGAGAGGCCTCTAAAATTGCTGTATCTTGGCCCTGTCACCTTCAACATTTTCATCAGTCATTTGAATTAAATCAGAAAAGGCATGCTTATCAAATTTTTAGATAACACAGTCTTAAGGATGAATGCTAATGTGATGGGTGATAGACTGTGGATTCAAAATGATCTTGACAGGTGGAAATGTTGAATTTCTCTGCAAGATGAAGGTGAGCATTTGGATCCAAAAGTATTGAATGTGAGAGGGTTGACCTAACAGAGAGTTTTTTGACCAGAAGCTCGTAGTCAAATGTAATTTCATTGAAGATGGGAAATGCGTCTTATTTTTATACGCCCAGCATTTAGCATGCATTTTGAGACATGGTAAGAATTCAAGACATTCTCCTTGAAGAAGACATGGAGAGGGACCCCCGAGACCTCGGTTTGATATGGTTGCTAAAAAGGTCGATGCTGCACTAACCCTGAACAGGCAGAAAATGTGCTGTCCAGGTCAAGGTGACGACTCAGACCGGCTAGAGGACTCCCAGAACTCCTCGAACTCTCGTTCACTGTGGGGCTTCTGGTGGGGTGTCATATTTTAAAAGGGACAGTCACAAACAGAGGAGGGTGGCCACAGAGCAGCTAGATGTCTGGAAAGCTTGTCATAGGAGAACAGCTGAAGTTGCTGGGGAGGCTCAGTCTGAGAAAAGATATGGAATAGAGAATTAGATAGCTGTTCCCGAATACCTGAAATACTGTAAAGTGAAGAGAGTCAGCTTACTCTTCTGCCTGAAAGGACAGAGCTACTGACTAGAAACTGCAGAGTAAAAGACTTTTATTCAATAACATACAAGTTTTCTAGTAGCCACAGCAATCTGAAAGAGAAGACAGCTGCCTTTACTTTAACAACAGCTCCTCCCACCCAGGCATAGGCTGGATGACTCTGGTCCAGGGCGTTTGGACGGAGGTAATTGATAACCTCCTCCAACTTTAGAGCCAGCAATTCTATTAGTGATGAAAGGTTAGGAAGAAAAAAATTCTTTTCATCCCAGCTAGCTTTACTTTCTCTCTCACTTTGCATATTTTGTTTTGACTCTCCACCAAATGAAAACAAGAAAAGTCAGTACAGCATATCAGTTTGATTCTGCCATCATCTGTTCTGAGCACTTGAGGTGCAGAGCCATAGGCCATCTCTGCCCTTAGGGAGCTTAAAGCTGAGTGGGGGAGATGGTTTCTGCTTACTAGTCTGAGAAATGTGGTCTTCAATTGTTAGATACCGCAATTAGATATTTCACTTGAGAGTTTCAGGAAATGAAGATAAGGCAATAAAATATATGTGGTTGTAAAAAGGACATCAGTTACAACATATGTGAAATGTTTGTTTCCTTTGAGACAATATAGCCTAGTGGTTGAGAGCAGAGTCTTGAGTCAGACTTTCTGGGTTGACCTCAGCTCTAGGACATACTAGGCATGTAATTCAACTTCTTTGTACCTCAGTTTTCTCACCACTCAACTACTTTACATAGTTGTGATGAGAATTAAATGAGTTAATATACATTACAGCACTTGAACACATAGGGAACCCATACAATTAGTGCTAGCTATTGCTATATTTCCTTGGGAGCACAGTCTTCTCCCTCTGGCCATTGTGCACATGATTTAATGACCAGAATCATTGTCTTTGAAGGGAGGCAAGCAGCAAAGATCAAGAAGTTGGTGAAAAGAAGAGGAAAGGGGAAGAAAGCACGAAGCCAGAGAGAAGGAAATCGGAGAGCTTTTTAGGGACTTCTGAAGAAGGTATGAATGGATGGTCATTATAATGTAACCTGGAGTCCTTGGGCTTCAATGAGCATCAGAGTTATTTAAAAATATTTCCCAGATGCTGTATACAGTCCTCCTATACTTTCCCCCTATAGTTCAACCCAGGTTTTCTATTAATTGCCAATTATGTCTTCATCACAAAACGGTGACGACATCCAATTTTATTTCTAAACCAAGTCTTCAGCTACTGTCATCATCCATATATACTGTCTGGAAAGATGTCTTGCTCCTAATGTATCTTCAAAAGAGTTCTAAATTTCTCTCACAGAGAGGCTAAATAAGAATCCAATAAGAATCATAAATTGTGGAATTTAAGTGGTGCCTACAAGTAATGTGAGAAGTATAAATTAACCTTAATTTCAAAACTTTTGATAGAGCTTTAAGGGACCATCCACAAATGGTGCCTTCCTATATTTAAGATCCTCCTACTCAGGAAGTGATGGTCATTAATTCTTTCAGATTACCCGGTACCTCTTTCATCCCTTCCCCAGTCCATGCTCACTGTCCTCCTGACCTGTGTGAACTGAATCTGCTGGGCTTGCTGGTCAGCCAGCTCCCTGTTGGCCAGTGAGAGGCCCTAGCCGATCAGAGGGCTGCAGAGTAGCTGGATGTTACTTGCCTGCCTGCCTCTGCACCTCGTGTCTGTGTGGAAATGGTGTCCCTCCACAGCTTCTGTCCCGTCCTTCCACTTCTGACTTGCACTGGGTTCCACTAACTGTGCCTACCGCTGCCCTCCCCTAGTCCCTTCAGACTCAGGGGTGGTAGGGCGTCCCGCTGCTGCTGGTCACTGGATGCTTTGCCATCTCTTTTTTGCACCCTTAACTCTAACACCTCTGTAAGCAGACACTTCACAAAAGGGCCGGGGGGTACATTCTGTTTCCTCCAGGACCCTGACTGTGTGAGTATTTAGCTAGCACTGAATTCACTGAGAACATGATGCAGGGACTCTGTGAAATTAGCATTATTGGTGTCTGTTGATTTGAGAGGGAGCTGTAGGATATTAGGGGTGGAAGCCCAGCAATTATTTTTAGACATATTTCATTTCTGTAGAAGCAAACAATTGTTGGAGGTTAAACAGTCCACCCTAAACTGGAGAGAGTACTAGTGGGCCTTCTGAACGCTGGCATCCTTTGATCCAGAGAATAATCAAGTTGTTTTTTCTTCCTCCTATATTTCATCAAGAGGAACTGAAACCCTGTTTTTGGAAGCGACTGGGTTGGTCTGAACCATCCAGGTAATGAGATACTAGATGTTTGTAAGTCAGAGTCCACTGTTTATAGACAACATGAACAGACTTTAAACATCTACCAGTGTCTACATAAACAGTAGTGACAGAGACTTGAATTCAGAGTTGCTCGGTTTGAAATGCTGATGTCTATACTTAATTAAAATAGAATGGGAAACAAACGCCAGCTTCGATTATGTAACTGGTGGTCAGCAGAGGAAGGCTTTAGGTGGAGGGTACAGAAGATGATGCCGTCGCTTGCTTTGTAGTCATTTTGCTTTCCCAGGATACACTAGTTTATCATAAGCTCTTTTGATGATAAAGATCAAAGTTTCTTTGCCTTGAGTTTAGTTGAATAGAAAGAGGCTGTTGTTTGTGTCTTTAAAAAACATACACACCAACTCGAAACTCCCTTTTTTTGTTCAGGATAATCGTGTTGGATCAGAGTGACTTGTCAGACTGACCGGAAGTGGACTGTAGGTGGACTCCTGGCCTGAGCTTGAGTGTCCTGCTCGTGAACTCCCTTCGTCCCCCGTCTGCTGCAGTCACCATTAGGGCAGTGGGTCTGTAGCTCACACTTTGTTCGGCTTCCACTATCGACAGAATGGCTCCTTTGTTTGCAGCACATTTAACCAGTTGTTTTCAGTCAGATTTCTGGAAAGTAAAAGGTGTTTTGATTGTAAAACTTTCTCATTGTGCCTCAAATGGCATTTGGTTTTTTTTTTTTGATACAGATTTTCAAAAACTTTAAATTCATGTTATCTAATAAAACGTTTCCTTTTAATACACGTTGGATTTCACCTGTAAGATGTATTTCTTCTTTAAAAATTCTGTTTATTTATTTATCTGTTTTTGGCTCTGCTAGGTCTTCGTTGCTTCGAGCTTTCCCTAGTCGTGGTGAGCGGGGACTGCTCTCCAGTTGCACTGTGCAGATTTCTCACCGAGGCGGCTTCTCTTGTAGAGCCTGGGCTCTGGTCATGTGAGCTCAGTAGTCGTGGCGCATGGGCTTAGTTGCTCAGCAGCCCGTGGGATCTTCTCGGACCAGGGATCAAACCTATGTCTCCTGCATTGGCAGACAGGTTCTTTACCACTGAGCCACCAGAGAAGCCCTGTAAGATATATTTCTGTATTTTAGTTATCGAGAAAGGAACCGCCACCCAAAGAAGTTTTAATTTCTGCTATAAAATTTGACAAATAATTAACTATTGCTACCACCCATCATGGGCATCCCAGGTGGCTCAGCGGTAAAGAATCTGCCTGCCACTGCAGGAGATTCAGGTTCAGTCCCTGGGTTGAGAATATCCCCTGAAGAAGGAAATGGCAACCCACTCCAGTATTCTTGAGTGGAAAATCCCATGGACAGAGGAGCCTGGCAGGCTAGTCCATGGAGTCACAAAAGAGTTGGATACAACTTAGCAACTAAATAGCAACCAGAAACCACCATACAAATGGGCACCAGTCATCCATGCTTTTTTTTTTAAAAAGTTTTATTTATTTATTTGCATTGGGTCTTAGTTGCGTCCAATGGGACTCTTTGTTTCGTCATGTGGGATCTTTTGTTGTGGACACAGGCTCTCTTGTTGCAGAACACGGGCTCCAGAGCGTGTGGGCTCAGCAGCTATGGGCACAGGCTTAGTAGCACCTCAGCATGTGGGGTCCTAGTTCCCTGACCAGGGATCAAACCTGCATCCCCTACATTGCAAGGTGGGTTCTTAACCATTGGACCACCAGGGACCCCATCCATGTTTCATTATAGAAATGTTTTTGCCCTCCTCTTTGCCAGGATTGCCATATTCCCATTCCAGCTATAATTGACTTACATGATAAACATATAGGTAGGAATAAAAGCCCAAGATATTTTGAACTCTTTAAGTGAACAAACATCATCTCTATATTTCAGTTTGTATACCTCACATCCTTAGTGCCTCAGAAGAATGAAACTATGGTAAGAAAGATCATAGTATTTTCTCTAATTTAGCCTCTTGTACAGTGCTGGCCAGCTAACATTTTATTTATAAGTAGTAGATCTTTTGTCTGTGAAAACTGGATAGTTCCTGTTGTGGATGGTCATATTCAATACAGTTCTTAGCTCCCTCAAATTTTACCCTACACAAATAAAACAGGAAGGTACAAGTTAATATGACCATTTATGGGTTTTTTTTTCATTTATTTTTATTAGTCGGAGGCTAATTACTTTACAATATTGTAGTGGTTTTTGCCATACACTGACATGAATCAGCCATGGATTTACATGTGTTCCCTATCCTGATCCCTCCTCCCGCCTCCCTCCCTAATATGACCGTTTAAAAGCAGGGAAACAGTTGCTTGCCATTGTAATCAGAGGAAAAGCAAGACATATTACTTTACAAATAATACTAGGTATAAGAAACTGAGGAATACATAGACTTGGTCATACGCAGTACTTCCTCTCAAAAAATTTTATATATTGAGACAAAACCAACATATGTAAAAATGTGAGAACTAATAGCAGACATATCATGATAAAGGGTGAGCATTATCTATTAGTATTCATAAAGGCTACAAGTCCTACACAAACTTGCCCTGATGTAGTTTGTAATCTTGTCTACAGAGTAGACTTTCTGTCTGGCCAGTGACTGCATAATATTGGCCCTTAACAGTAATAATGTTGGTAAATGTTATTAGTTATGGAGCACCTATTATATTCCAAGTACTTGATATACTTGGTACTTTTCCTACACATGGCACTCTCATTGTATTTCTTTAGTACGCTATTTTTCCTACTCTCACCAGCTATTATTGCAAACCTATTCTTCACTTCCTCTCTCCAGTGAACAGATGACTTAACCCCAACTTTACAGAGAAATTAGAAGCCATCGGATGGGAACAAACTCAGCTTCCCACCACCAGAAGTACTAACAAGATCACATCTGTTTCTGTGACTAGGAGAGCTGTGAAGCAGTCTGCCCTAAACTCGACGTGGACCTGTTCTGCACGTGTGCTTTCTACTTCCCTCCATGCTACCCTGAAGGAGGCATCTCTCTTCTTACCCAAGGCCAGTCTCATCTTTTGTCTGCTCAGAGTTATCCTTCTCAGGTTATCATCTCCCTTCTTAATAGCTTCAACGCCTTCTTTATTAGCTTCTTTTCATCACTTGACACCCTTAGATTTTTCCCATCTTTAAAAAGTATTCCCTGGACTTCCTTGGGGGTCCAGTGGTTAAAACTCCATGCTTCCACTGCAAGTGGTGCTGGTTCGATCCCTGAGTGGGGAACTAAGATCCCTCATGCTGTGTAGTGTGGCCAAAGAAAAAAAGGAAACCCCGTATTCCCTGGATCCCACATACCTTTCCAGTCACTGTTGCATCTTTTTCCTCCCACAGCAGTTAGCGTTCTCATTTAAAAATTTTTTTTTCTTTGGCTGCACTGGGTCTTTGTTGCTGTGCTCAGGCTTTTCCCTGGTTGCGGTGGGTGGGGGCTACTCTCTACGTGGACTTCTCATTGCTGTGCCTTCTCCTGTTGCAGAGAACAGACTCTAGGCACATGGGCTTCAGTAGTTTCAGCTTGCAGGCTCTAGAGCACAGGCTTAATAGTTGTGGTGCACAGACTTAGTTGCTACTCAGCCTGTGGGATCTTCCTGGATGAGGGACCCAAACCCTTGTCTCCTGCATTGACAGATTCTTTACTACCAAACCACCAGGGAAGCCCTGTGTCATATTTTATAGCCCACATATAAGTGATATCATATGGTATTTGTCTTTCTCTGTCTGACTTACTTTAGCTAGTATGATAATCTCTAGGTCTGTCCATGTTGCTGCAAATGGCATTCTTTCTTTTTTATGGCTGAGTGGCAATCCATTGTATACACATGTACCACATCTTCTTTATCCATTCATCAGTTGTAGATAAAATTGTTTCCATGTCTTGGCTATTCTGAATAGTGCCGCTGTGAACATAGGGGTGCATGCATCTTTTGAATTATAGTTTTGTCCACATACATACCCAGGAGTGAGAATGCTGGATCATATGACTACTCTCTTCTCAGTATTTTAAGGATCCTCCATACTGTTCTCCATAGTGGCTTCACCAATTTACATCCCCACCAACAGTGAAGGAGCATCCCCTTTTCTCCACACCAGCAAATGTCTCCAGCATTTGTTGTTTGTCAACTTTTTAATGATGGCCATTCTGATCGGTGTGAGATGGTACCTATTGTAGCTTTGATTTGCATTTCTCTAATAATTAGCAATGTTGAACATCTTTTCATGTGCCTGTTGGCCCTCTCTATGTCTTCTCTGGAGAAATGTCTTATTTAGTTCTTCTGCCCATTTTCCAACTAGGTTGTTTGTTTTTTGTTATTGAGTTGTATGAGCTGTATATTTTGGCAATTGAGGAAATTAAGCTCTTGTCAGTCACATCATTTGCAAATATTTTTTTCTGATCTGTAGGTTGGTTTTTCGTTGTTTTATGCTTTCCTTTGCTGTACAAAAGCCGGTAAGTTTGATGAGGTACCGTTTGTTTATTTTTGCTTTTATTTCTGTTGCTTTGGGAGACTCACCTAAGGAAATATTGGTACAGTTTGTCAGATTTTGCCTGTGTTCTCGTCAAGGGGTTTTGTGGTGTCTTGTCTTATATTTAAGTCTTTAAGCTATTTTGAGTTTATTTTGTGTATGGTGTGAGGGTGTTCTAACTTCATTGATTCACACACGGCTGCCCAGCTTTCCCAGCACCACTTGCTGAAGATACCGCTTGTTCTCCTCTGTTTCCTCTTCCCTCCTGTGTCGAAGACTGCCCATGGGTGTGTGGGTTTGTTTCTGGGCTCTGTTCTGTTCCATTGAGCCATGTGTCCGTTTTTGCGCCAGTACCACGTTGTTCTGATGACTGTAGCTCTGTAGTATCATCTTAAGTCTGGGAGGGCTATGCCTCCTCCTTCATTCTTTTTCCTCAGGATTGTGTTGGCAATTCTGGGTCTTTTATGGTTCCATATAAATTTTAGGATTATTTGTTCTAATTCTGTGAAATATGTCATGAGTAATTTGATAGGGGTCACATTAATTCTGTAGATTGCTTTGGGTGGTATGGCCACTTTAACAATTAATTCTTTCAGTTCAAGATCATGGGTTATCTTTCCATTTCTCTGAATCATCTTTAGTTTCCTTAATTAATGTTTTATAGTTCTCAGCATATAGGTCTTTCATTCTCTTTGGTCAGGATTATCATTAAGTTGTGGTTTTTTTTTTTAAATATTATTTTAAAAGGAATTTTTTTTTTTACCTTCCCTTTTACCTCTTCCTTTTCTTACTTCAAGCTTTCTTCCTAAGAGACTTTGCTCACATCCATTGGCTTAGCTTCTGTATGCTGACAACTTCCAGATGTGTATTAGAAGTCTATGACCAGACCTCTCCTCTTAGCCCATATATCTACCCAAGTATTCAGTGTCTCTGCTTGGGTTTCTTTCAGGTGTCTTACTGATAATATCCAAAACCAAACCTATAGTCTCAATCACAGATCTCCTTCATCTCCAGAATTTCCCTTCCAGCTAATGGTATTTCTTTTCACTCAGGCACTCAAACCAGAAACCCAGGAGTCATTCTTGACTCCTCCCATTCTTTTACTCCTTACATTGAAATATCAATCATTAAGACTTATTTGTTTCAACGCAGGAGAGGATGTGGAGAAAAGAGAATCCTCTTACACTGTTGGTGGGAATGTAAGTTGATACTGCCACTATGGAAAACAGTATGTAGGTTCCTTAGAAAACAAAAAATTGAATTAACCATATGATCCATAAGTCTCATTCCTGGGAATATACCT